GGTTAGGGACGTGAAGGTCTCCCCTCATCCAGCTCTCTGGTTCTTCTACCCACAGTCGAAGCAGCAACCTCAGCCGTAGTGCAAAGCAGCCCAGCTCTCGTAAGTATTCCTTTACTTCAATTAGAAATCTACCCATTGGAACACACGCACACTGTTTGCTCGTGAGTCCCAAACTCTACATTTTTACTCGATTTGAGCTTCACAAAACTTAATTAAATTTATTTCCTTTTATTTTTTCAATTTTGATCGTTTAACTTTTTTGTTGCAGTTAATTACTTATGCATTTCGAAGAGGCCGCATTTCTGACGATTTTTACAGATTATCAATTTTTCTGAAATCTTCTGCTCAATCCACTCTGCCTATTCTTTGGATCTCAGGTACTCTCACGTAGAGAAATATTTCTTAATCTATCATTTTGTCGTATAAATTCTGTGTATCTATCATGTTCTCTGTTGATTTAGTTTGCTAGAATATGGCTTGACTGCAATGAGATAGCAATCAGTAAGTGCTGTGGTGTAATTGAACTGCAATAAAATCATCAATAGTGCCCTTACAGATAATAAAATTAGGAAATTGAACTGGACTTGTGGTGTAATTGAACTAGCTGATGGTGGCACTCGATGTTTGCTAGTACGGGGATTTATTTGTTGTCCAGTTCATATGATATGCAGTCTGTGTTCATATTATATGTTCAAAAGTATTTTCTATATGCTGCCTCGTTTGTATATTTAGTAGTGCAAAAAATGTCCACTTAATTGAAGAAGTGATGAAGTGCATAATCGCAAGGCAAAATAATGGTTTTGGATTTCATGATAACTTTGGGTTTGTTCATTTTTGACGAATTGCTAGTCTAATTCGATTGGAATCGAGCCAATTTTGGGCAAAACCCATCATTTAGGCCCTTATTTAAGCGTTTTTGCTATTTATAGTAATTTTTATTTTTGCAATATCTCTTTCCATAAAATTCGGATTTGTATTCCGTTTGTTGGAAGATGATCCTGAAGACAAGGATTTTTCATCTTAGTAGTTATCTCATATTTTTCTATTTTTGGAAAAATATCTTTTTTTCGAATTTTGCTAGGTCTTTTTTTTTCCTTTCTATTTTAAGGCGTTGTAAGCCCTTTGATATCTAAGATGGTTGGATGTCTAAGTTTTCTTTAATTGGATGTCTAAGCTTTATGATCACTATATGCTTAGGCACTGTAGTTTAATTAAGTTTACGTATAATTTTTGAAGCATAAATTGTTTCTTTATATGTTTTCACATACTATTCATGCAATTTAACCCTCCCAGTTACTCATATCATTGTAATAAGAGTCATCACTTACCATGTTAAATTCTTTGAGAATTGTGCGTTAAAGCTTTACAAATTTGATATACCAACGTTAGGGGTTCAACCCTTATTTCCTTTTTTGACAATTTCAGACACTATGCGAGTTTTCATTGATTGCTATGCTATGTATTCTTAGTTATATTTGATGAAATAAAATTCTAATATTGAATAAATCTTTGATCTTCTCAAGTCTCTTGTTGAAAAATATTTTTTAAACTTCAGTTAAAACTTTTATTTTGGTTGAGGAGTAGACTATTAAGGGTTAGTCCTACACTAGTTAACATGACAGTCACCTTATATTGCTACTACACATTCAATTGGTCGGTATTGCTTAAAGATGCTGCCCTTCCATTGTGGAAACAATTTTTAGTCTATTTTGTCAATTATCCCCATATTTAATTTATTTGTGGTTAAAGCTACAATGTCATGATGTATTTAATAAGTTGCCTTTGCACTCCCATTTATCCTAGCCTCTCGTATCATGGCTTATTGGTAATATCAATAAGTTCATGTTCAACTCAAAATGAAGATTCCTGATAATATCAAAAACCTTATTGCCCTACTACCGCATAGCTTCCTCAATAACTTTTACCTCGCGAACTTTCACCTTGGAAAGGCTAGACTCTACAATAGCCAATTTTATTTCATTACTCTCCAATTGATTGCAAATCAAAGTCATTTCATTCTTTTCATTGTAGATGTCCTTAGAAGTAACATATTGCTTGGTCTTCACCAATTGGATCTCCTATTAGATAAGTAAAATTTCGCATAGGCTGCTTAGCTTTTCTTATCCAGCTTAAACTCCTTGGATATTTTTCCTAACATCGGCCACAAGGAAAGCCTTCCTTGTAGTAAAGACTTCAATACCTTCTCATCTCCTTGTATTTGGCCTTCTCCTTCTCGGCTTCTTCCAATCTTTTCTGCGGGTAATCACTATAACACCACATGCTTGCTTTCATATCTATCTAGATTATTATTAGTGTTAAATTTATTTCTTAAATTAGTATAATTGTATTCATTGTGACAAATTATTTTGTTTTTACAATGAAATATGTTCTAGACGTCCTAAAACATCGGTGTGCCTATTAACCTACGTTTAATATGATTAAATTATATAATAAATTGGTTTTATTATGTGATTTTAACTCGTCTTGTTTTTGTATTGAATTTAGATGTATTTCCTCTTTTCAATAAGTGCATTTTTGAGTAATTTAATAATATAAAAATAATATTTGTAACAACAAAATGGGTTTTAAATCAATAAAATAATTAAAGGATTCAAATAAGTTAATAAGATAAGTAAGGAGTGTTAAAATTTATTTCCATACATTATGCCAATTATTTGTCATTAAGTTAGAAAATAAGACTTTACCTATTTTCTTCACCGCTTTACATGTTAAAGTCGGCTCCATCATAGTCATGAATGAATTGGCATTTTGAATTCTAGAAAATGATAATGACGGTAAGGTATGGAATTTTAATCATTAATTTACTCAATTGTTTAATTTTGAATTCAAAAGCAATCATGATATTTTATTTGATTAGTATTAAAATAATGTTTCTATTTCATTTTATATATGAAATGAGTGTGCCATTGGCTGAGTAAATATATGTTGTACGTATATGTATAGATGAGCGTGCACATTATATGTGCCAATATATGTATATGCCTGCACGTATATGTGTGCGCTTATTTAATAGAAATATAAGCTGTAGGTATTATTATGTATATGTGTGTATATACTATATATAGGCGTGGGTGTGATTAACATATGTATATATGTATGCTTTGTATATATATGTGTCTATGAGTGATTTCAACTTCAAAATTTGTAGGAAAGTCAATCTTATTTACACGTAGCTTCTTCTTTTTTTTTCTTTTATACAACGACAATAATAAATTGATATTTGTCAACAAGAGAATAATGACACATGTTTTAAATTGATATTTGTAGATCAATTGCTTTTGGTAAATCTTTCTCTTTTTGTTTGTAGATTTTTGTATTCTTGAAGTCATTTGTGTCGAACCAGTTGACAGTAATATACGTTATACGATGGATGCAGCTCAGGTCAGTGTGTTTTTTTATAATTCTTGAGATATTTGTCAACAAGAGAATAATTATAGCCATGTCATAATTTTATGTTTCATTCTTTAAGTCAATGAAGCAAGCTTTGAAGAGTTCAAAACGTCGAAAAGCTGCAATTGTCGTTGCAATTCAAGAGATCAATAAAAGACTAAGACTTTCAAGTGAACCAGAAAATACTGTATCAACTCCAATTACTAATGAACAAAAAGAAAAGAGGTCCAACCCAAGTGAAAGCAGTTCCTGAAAATAGGAATCATGAGATGGAGCTTGAATTTAATGAATTTGGGCAAGTAGTTGGCACTAACTCTGATAAATTTGCTAACATGGTTGGAGCCATTGTACGAGAGTATGTGCGTATTGTAATTAAGGATTGGCAGTCAGTAGGTGACACTAAAAAAAATGGAACTTTGGACTTTCAGACAGGTACGTTGATAAATACAATAACTTTAATTTCTTGTACTATTTATTACATCTATTTCCTTCCTAACATCATTTCTTATATCTGTGCACAAAAATATAACAAAGGTTCAATGTGAGTGATTTCCATCAAAAAATGACATTTCAGCAAATGGGAAAGTATTGGAGGACATACAAATCAAGATTGAGAAAAGAAATCAGAATTCAAGCGACATCATTTGTGAATAGAACACGCAGTATTTCCCTTCTTAGACCGAAGAATGTAAACTCCGAATAAGCATGGAAGAAGTTTGTAGAAGATACTCTTTCTACTGACTTTCAAGTAAGTTGTTTTTTGATTCCCTTGAGTTTAAAATTTAGTTGATTGTTGTTGTTCAATTTTTATGTTCTCTTAATAGGAAAAAAGTGCCAAGTTCAGTAAAATGAGAACTAATCAGAAGCTTCTACACACTATGGGTCGAAAGTGTTATCAACGTACGGCTCACGATTTGGTGCACATTCAAACTATCTTTACTTGGACGTGTCAGTAACGATTTTCTTATTTATTTTCATTCATTTTAGTTTATATCAAGTTTTTGCGTATGTCCAATATTAGTATATCTAATTACTTGATTTGTATTGTAGAAAAAAAGGTTTCCAGACATGAAAGGATTGAGAACTAGAGTCTGGACTCATGGACATCTGAGAAGGGATGGAAAACCTATAAATGAAGCTGTTGCCGACACTCTAGTATGTGTGTTATATCTGGATTCTGTCAATAATAATTAAACTTATTATGTGTATCACTTGCTAATATAAAAATTAAGTTGCATAAGTGCAGAAAAGGATAGAAGATTGTGCTCAATCTATTTCCGATACACTAGCAGAAGATTCAATTCGAGATGATGCTGTTGCTCGAGTTCTAGGTCCTGAACGTCGTGGAAGAGTAAGGGGACTTGGATTTGGAGTTACACCATCAAAGGTCAATGGACAAATTCAAAGTAATTCTCGAGTGAGAGAACTTGAAAGCCAACTACAAACGCAATCAGAAAGGGTTGGAGCACTAGAAGAAAAAGTTGAAGTACTCCTGAAGTTATCTTAGGTTATGTACTTTATCATTTTATATAATATGATAACATAGCTTTACATAACTACGTATAATAACTTTTTAATTTTTTTATTATTTTACAGATTCAAAATAAGAATGTAGATGACATGAGTTCACGTGCTTTTACTCCTCAGGTTATGTATCTTATATTATTTATTGTTTGTTCAATATAAATTCAGACTATATGGCATACTAATTTTAAAAAGAATATTTTCATTTTATTGTGAATTTGTAGTCCCAACAAGGAAGTGGTATCCAGGGAGGGACTACACATTTGGAAAATTCAAGGTTTCAATTATTGCATTGGTACCGATATAATGAGGAAGAAATCGTAGCAGAAGGGAAGATTGCATCAACCAACCCAAACGCAAAGGTACATCACATGTCACTTGGACGAGATTGTTGGAAGGTTTGGGTTGAGGAAGTGTATATGGGTCATTTGACCTTATATAGACCTACTGATGAATTTTGAGTTCTTAGTGAAACCATGGGAAGTACTGTTGCTTGGCCAAAGAGTAGTGTTAGACTCATTTGACGAAGGTATTTCTTGAATTTTTGCTTATTCAACTGAGCAAAGACTTTTAATGTTGTGTGATAAGCTTATTCTGAACATGATTGACACATTGTTAATGTTGTGTGTATTTGAGTTTCCTAGCATTTTATTAATTAATGTACCTAACCTCTATATTCTTTCCTTATTGCAGTTATATGGAGTCGAGCTGAGTTAAGAGAAGAATTTGAAGTTAAGTTCTCTTATGCATGTGCCTTCTTGGACTTCATTTATGTAAGCAGCTTGCTTCGGGATGGCTTATGGACAATGCTTTAGCTTTCCTATTGTAATTCCTGTAGTTGACTCATTGTATATATTCTTGACATATTTGTTTTTGCTGGTTTGTGTGCTCTCGTTTCTGTATTGGAGTCTTTATTGTGTTTTGAAGAAGTAATTGTACATGTTTTATGTTTATTGTGTATGGATAAAATATTGGTGCTATTGGTGGTTTTTGAGATTTTTGGTTTAAATGTTTTTATGAGATTTTTGTTGATTTTCAGGTTGGTTTAGTCCATATTTCAGAGGAAACTCTGTCAAAATTTTTATAAAAATATATCACAGTAAAGTAAGTCAGGGTTGTCTTGATGGTGGGTACGACATTTAGTTGGTATCTACTATTGGCGCACGACACGTGTCGAGTCCTTTAGGATAATTCAGGATGGATCGTGTCAATTGGTATCACTACTATTAGGGAAGTCTAAACATGCGCAAAAAAGGAGAAAAAAAAGAATTAAAGAAGCGACAACGCGCGGCGAACGTTACGAAAAACCTTAAGACAATGCGCGGTGAACGTTGCGAAAAACCTTAAGACAACGCGCAATGCACGTTGCGAAAAACCTTAAGACAACGCGCATTGTGGGTTGCGAAAAACCTTAAAACAATGCACTATATACGTTGCAAAAAACCTTAAGACAACGCGCAATGCACGTTGCGAAAAACCTTAAGACAACGCGCAATGAACGTTGCGAAAAACCTTAAGACAATGCGCAATGCACGTTGCGAAAAACCTAAGACAACGCGCAATGCACGTTGTGAAAACCTTCCGCTCTATGACAACACTAAAGCCCACAACATACGCCCAAACGCTGCAAAAGGTCAATTGCAATTTTTTTGACCGTTGCAAATAGCAATTTTTGGTGTAGTGTCAAGGACATTCCTTCCATTTCCACCACTCCATCAAATTGACCAGAGAAGTCTTCAGGTCATTTGTTTGCCTTTTCTTATACATTTCTGTTGACATTCTTGTACATTGATGGTAATGCACATGTTAAGTTTGGAGGTGGTTGGTTTTATCATCTATTGTGTATAATTTACTACTTTTGTGTGATTGTTGATTGTTATTAAAAAGAATAAAAAATCATAAATCATTTAAGATCATAAAAATATGTCCTTTATACTTTTATATTGATTTTGTGTGTTTGTGCAGGTTGGATGGCCTAGACGGTAATGATATATATATATATTGAAATTATGTATTAGACTTAGAATTTGCTGAAAAATTCTATGTTGAGTTGATTGATGCTTGTTTATATAAAACTTGATCTCAATTGCGCACGAAATTTGGGTTTTGCATTATAAGTGAGTGTTGTGGTTCATATATTGAAAAAGATTGAACATAGTGAAATTAGTTGATAGACCTCCGAAAAATCACGATTACATACATCCCTAAACCACTTCTAAGATGGTTTAAAGACTGATGAACTAGTAAATTGAAACATTAAGATTTTAAGGATTTTATGTGTGAGCTTGTTGTGTGGATTGTCTAAAGCCAACAAGATAGAGATATGTAAAATCTTGAGTTAGGGATTGATTTTATAAGATTAAGTGTTAAACAACGAACATAACACTAATCAAAGTATGAAAAAGGAAAAAAGTTGACCTATTGCGAAGCTAGCCTATAAAAGATCCCAAAAAGAAAACTTAAAAAGAGATCAAACTAGTGTATGAAATAGAATATGCACAACATAATTTAAAAAAAAATGAATGAAACAGAAGACGCACTATATACTTGGATTAAACACCGAACGCTTGGTTGAAAGAATTAAACCTTTAATAAGAGATGAGTAGGTTAGTTGAGTTTAGAGGTTGAGCAATAAAAAATATAGAATAATCCTTATTTGTTGAAGTGTTAACTTATAACAGTAAAATATATCCAAACTAGAGATGACGAGAATTAGGATCATCTAAACCTTGGAACAAGCTTTGGGTAAATGAGTGAAAAGTATGAGTTTGGGAATGCGTATCTCACGAGTGAAGAAAGATGACATTAAACTATTGAGGGTCGAAAATTGAACCAATCATGAACTTGTGAGGTTCTACACGAGTCCTCACACACACGTCGAGTTTTGCATTGAATAAATAGAAGTTACTTTCAACTGTGAAATTTTGAAGCTATTCATATTAATGACACAGAAGTTCAATACTGAGACTAACAACAGGCTATCTAACCAAGTTTTGTTGAGTTTGGCTATATTTTGTTTGATAACAAATAAATATTCAAGTTTAAGGGTGTTTGACAAATATATTTTGTACACTTATTTAGGCTTTGAAATTAGAGTATTTGTTGGTATTTCAACATATTATTCGATTTGAATTGTGTTTGTTAGGAAACAATCGATAAAAAGGCGAAATTAGAGAAAAATGATGAATAGAGGACTGAATTGTAAGAAAGTCAATATTTAGAGATTGAAGTGCAAATAATTAAAGGTCGGATTGTACGGTGGAACGAATATTTGAGAGTGCTAAGACTCAATTGGATGTGATTATAAGGAAACGGGATGAAAATTAATGAAGAATGACTAAGATGGACACTTGAGAAAGTTTAGAGACCAAATCGTAAAGTTGGTCCCCTAAAGAGAAGACCATGTGTACGCATGGCCCTCATGTGGCCTAACTGAGGACTAAATCGACTTTCCATATGTACGCATGAGGGCAAACCATGCGTATGCATGGTTCATCTCTGAAGGAAAAATTCTACTTTCCTTTTTTGTTCTGTCTTGGTTTAATATGATATTTCTATCATCCTTTTAAGCTAGGAAGTCGTGCAAAACATATTCTACCTTGTCTTTATCATAGAATTGAGGTTAGTAAGAGCTGAACAAGAGATTTTACAACAAGAATTGAAATTTCAATGCTGGATTGAAGTTGAAGTGCAATAAATTGAGTTTATAGGTTCTTCATCTCATTCTTTATTTAGGGCGATGTCGTTTCAATATCTTTTGTATAATTTGTATTCAATAATGCTATGCTAAATACTTTTTATGTACTTGGTGAATGATGAAATTTTTTGATTGATATGTCTAACCAAGACTTAAGTATTTTAGTTAATTCTTGTGTTTTTTTATGAAATATACATGATTATTTCATTGTTTGAACGCTTGATGACCATTACGATAATTTTTTTACTTATTGTAGTGTTCGAAGACTCACAATAGGTTATTACATTGCATATTTAACATATAGACAATAGATGTTAGAAATAACATTTATGATTTGTGCAATCTAGATTGAAAATCATGTGACTGAATGCATTTCTTTGCTTATGAATTCAAACTAGGAATATAATCATGTCATGCTCGGGATAGGTTTAATTTATCTTGAAAAATAAGGTTAGATACTAATAAATTATTGATTGTTACAAACACTAACTTACACGAGTCGAGAATTCGAAACAGAGATTAATAGATGGATTCTAAAATCCAATATATTTATCTCATTATTTGATATTAAAAAAAATCGATCTTTTACATAATTCATAGGGTAAAATAGGATAATTACAAACAAACTGAACTCATTTGTATTACATTGATCTAATTTGATTGTAACTAGTATACTATAGTTGAACATTATTCCCAATTCACTACGTACTACTTGTCAACAATCCCGTATACTTGTGAGATTTTCTTGAACACACCATATCCTTTCCAGATAGACTCGAGGCTCTTCCTACCAGGCAGGGTAGAGAATCTTCTTTCAAAAAAGAGTCAAACCAAAGATGATAGGAGAAAGCATTCAATGTCTCAATAGTGACTGTATGATTAGTGACTTAGCTGTAAGTTGTCTAAAAGCTATAGTCAAAATACACTGCAAGAGGAATCACTCGACATAGCCCTTTGGCGGGCGGGCTTCAAGGATCCTACTTACTAATTCTTTATACTTTGATGCTAGAAGAAAGCAACTCATTCCTTCCTTTCGGAGGGCATTAGATGTTAAGTAGGCGAACTATGCTGCAAGGGCACTGCCATTGTCAGCTTAATTTGTTAACGGGCAATATATGCTTACATAGCTTTTTTCTTGTTGATAAAGAAAAGAAAATCACGAATAAATGTCTTAACATTCTGAACGAATCAACATTTTTCTTGGACACTACATAACATTCAATCTTCACCCTAAGTGAACATTTCATATATTCTTCTTAATGATAGAAGCATTAATTTACTTTTAACAATATATTTCTGCCTGTGTTAGCAATATTGCACGTAAGAGATTGTTTTAGTGAAAATCTTTCACACCTTCCATAGTACTTCCAGACAAAAGAGCACATAAAAGGGAAGTGCAACATTTCCTATTAAAGAAATACTAACATTATGTTTCTCTAAAAAAATGGTAATTGTGATATTTTAGAACATGTAATCTTCCAATGTTATAGAGAATGTAAGGGTTTGTTAATGCAGTATTGTCGACTCTAAATGTTATCAAGTTTACCATTGAAGAAGTTCATGAATAACGTTAGAAGAACAACTAAATACAATAGACGAGGAAAAATAAGATGAGGCATATGCAATAACCACTTACGAAAATTATCGCATAAGTTATATTCCATAAAGTATATACACGAGCGAGGACAACCAACCGCCTGCAGTGTCCATGACTAAATAACGCATTGATGCCCGTGGGAAATGGCAGAAGTATCCCAAGAGGAAGAATATACAAAACCAAGACATCCAAAAATAATATGGAGTAAAGCTGAAGTAAAACAACCAAGACTAAGCTGATCTGCTAAAAGGAGTATTGAGATGATCAAACCAACAAGATCCTGCATTTATAGTCCAATGGAAGAAAGAGGGAGAGTGCCAAATGTCAATGGATTTTTGAGGAAAAAGATCAATATATTTGTAGTAGTCCTATACATTATGACTTACCTGACTGTAAACTGGTCTATAGAGTTTATGACATAGTGTACAATGATTATTACAACTACAATGTAGAAAAATAAACTCTCCAAGTGTAAAAACCAAACCAACCGACTTAATCTTCTTCAACCTTACTACAAATGTGTCTTATGATGTTGAACTCGGATTTGAATCACACCGGATCAATGCACGGTTACCCACAAGAATAACAATGAATATACTAAGAAAGGAATCCATTGGAGGTCGCCAAGAATATCAATAGAGAACAAGTCTCTC